TCTAATCCGCTGTTACCCATCATTTAGGCAAGTACTTGTCATTTCTTTCTTTACCTCCCCTTGCGTAAAGGTTCTGACATTATTGTCTGTTAATGTATTTACTACTTGGTTTGTTTTTTTTTTTTTTTTGGTGAAACACAGCAGACCTTCCTCCTCCACAGTCATGATTGTTATTAGCAGATTAGAATGTTGGGGGAGTTCTATAATAAGTAAACACATTTAGCTTTGTGTTTATTAATCTGATTTTTATCACAAAATATTTGTGTGGGTTGCATGTGACCTGATAGCTTTGGGAGAACAGAGGCATCTGGAATTCTGTTCTAAAACAAAGAGCCTATGCTTGCTGATTCTGTTTTCCCAGCCTTATAAATGTATTAAATTTGCTATCTCAGAGTATACTGGCAATCTCCAAACAGTAAAATCCAATTATTGGTGTTTTTTTCCTCCAATTATTATTGGTTTTGACATTTCTCAGCTAGCCAACACAATCAGCAATGTACACATTTCTTCAAACTCTCCACTCAGAATTCATAATTTGTTATCACTGTCAGTAACTATTTATCTCAATTTCCTGTGCTCACGTCTACCGTCCAGACTTCTTAACCTGCCGTTCTGAGACCCACACTATCTACCCTACCAAACTTATTTTTCATGTATTTCTTTTTAGTCACATCCACAAATTTCCATCTCCTGTCCAGCCTAATCCACTTACCACTCCACCAAAATACCTGCTGCATTTCCATTTCAGTGCATGTGTTCATGTAGTTAGGCTTGTCGTTCCCTTTTTCTCTTGCTTATTCTTTCTCTTCCTGAAAGTTTCCTTTCTTGACCTAGCCTTCTCTCATAATTTTAATTTTTTAATATCAATGTTTTTCCTGTCCAGGCTGTAAACGCTGTCCAGTTACCATGTATGTGTTTCTCGTTACTCAATCTTCAGCCTCGCTCAACAGCTGATAAGTGATCTGTAGATGGTGCAATACTCTGGTGTTTGATTGAATCTAAATTCTTTGAATTTCTGTAGTACCTGCTTGCCTCTCCTCTCCTTTTGCATTAGAACATACAGCCTTATGTTGGTAGTTGCTATCTCGTGTTGTGCTCTTTGTGAATTACCCTAAATATAACACATTTATTTAACCTCACATTTTGGGAAGTGTGTGTATTTTTAACAACCTCAGCAGCCAGGATAGTGGCTGAAGAAACTTGAGAGATCGGCTAGTTAATTCAGAGACCAGCACAGGTCTTTTGTCTCCTGTGGAGTGTCCCTATGTTGTGGTCCATATTTAGCTTTTTTTTTTTTTTGGCTCCTTCTAGGGGTTGCCATCTCTCCAGCTCATATCTGTAGTTTTGTTTTGTGCATGCATCAAATTTCTTCTATGGATCTTGTGAAATCTCCCTTAAAGGGTAAAAATTGAAGTTTCATGGTTTTTGTCTTCCAAACAGGTAAGAATATAACAGTTAAAGTCAAATGAAAAAAGAAAAGCTAAACTTGTCACACTGTAATTCACTTTATTATTGACACTTATCATACAATGTTACTATTCCAATATTTTATGCAGACAAAAAATGACATAAAATACATAATGTACTTTGTTCATTTTAACCACACACAAAATATGGAATGGTTGAAACTCTGTTACATGGATTTCTTTTTTACACATTCAGATGAAATTTATCATTAAATTTTGGATGTTATATGATGTTAAATACAGGTATATTTGAAACAATTATTATTTATAGGGCAAATTTGATATTTTACTATTTAAAATAATAAGTACTGTGTAAATGAGTACTCATAAAAATATTTTTAAGCAAAACACTATGTTCTACTCATTTATTTGGCAGTTACAAAAATATATATCCATCTGAAACTAATAAATTTGCTTGAGGCATTAGATGTTCAAATTCAAATATATGATTTCTAAAGCATTTCACTGACTTAGCATTCTTGGCTACATATGGTACAAAATACAAACAGGGCATTAGAATAGGTTTGTGTTACAGATAATAGTATTTTAAGTAAGAGACATAACTGATCAATAACATATAGAGACACTATTACAAGTTTGGGCCCAAGCACAACGAATACATATACAAGACTTACTCACTGTGCTTTGTATGAAGTGAATTCTCAAAAAAAAAAACCCATTTCTTGAATGAATACATGGATAGATGCCATTTATTCTTATGATTTGCATCTAAAGTTATTCAGAGCTTTTTTTTTTTCCAGTAACCTCTACAATCTTGCTCCTAGTCAGCTACTTCTCAGTGGCAAAGCCAGGTTAGCCAATTTCAGATTGAACTCAACAGTGCTATGGTTTGGATCTGGAATGTCCCCACAAGTTCTCCAGGGTGGTGCCACTGTGAGATGCTGGAAACTTTGGGAGGTGTGGTCTAGCGAGAGACCCTTATATCAGGGATCACACCTTAGGAGGGGATTGTGACACCCACATCGCTTCCTCTCGTTTGTTTCCTTGGCTGATGAGGTGAGCAGTTCTGCTCAGCCTGCCGTTATGGGCTGCTCACCACAGGCCCAACTGATCATGGACTAGAAATTCTAGAACTCTAAGCCAAAACAAACCTGTCCCCTTCATAATGTGATTATCTCAGACATTTTGTTATGATAATGGAAAATTCACTAACACAAATAGCTAAGTAGAATCAGTGAACAAAACATATCTTACCAGGTACACTTGCTACATAGATAGCTCTGATGTGTACAGAACAGACATGAAGTACATCAATCAACTCCATTTTTCATATCATTCAAAACATGACATAATAATCTAATTTTTATAATGTATTATAAAAATAAAATGTACTAAATATATATGTGTGTATATATATATAAATATATATATATATATAGAGAGAGAGAGAGACATATTCACACACACACACAGCTCATTTAGTAGGTTTAGTAGACTTCAGAAATCTCTTCCCAGTGAGAGAAGCAAACTATCCTGAGCAAATTAGGCCTTGTGTCAAGGAAACTGCTAATTGAGAGACAGATGCACACCAATGGACGCTTGCAGTACGAATGCTGAGATCACTGTTAATGGCAAGTTGTAGAAGCAGTAACATTTTTCTGAATCAAAAGACTGAGAAACAATGACTATGATAGAATTGCAGCACCTAGGAGGACGGTGAGGCCATTCTTGTTACAGGCCCCTCTTGTAAGGTTCCCCACCTGTTCTGCAAAGTAGAATGCTGCTGAAGCTCATTACTAAAACTCCAAACACCGGGCAGAGCACACAGTATTTTTTCTTAATTGAAAATCAGATCATCCTAAACCATTTCAAAATCTTCTGCCCTAGTACTTACACAGGACAACTGAGAATTCATTCAGCAAACTGGTTAACACATATACATGTTAATCAAACTATTTCTGGCTGAAGAAGTGTTACGAAACTATAATTTAGCAAGATACTTCACATACAAATAAGTCTTTAAAAAATTAAACTGGTTACCAAAATTCAGAAGCAATTTGGTCAAATATTAAAAGTTAATTACAATGCCACTAGTGTAGAAAGACTGAAAATGACTATTAAGGTAAAATATAAAGTATCCCAAAAAGGATTTAAAAGAAGGCTATTCACTTTAAATTTCAATATTGTGATTTTGTAAGAAAATGAGTGAAGAAAATACGCCTGCTAATCTGCATTAAATCATGCTACACAGGAAAAGAACTACTTGAACTAATGAAAGAATATTTTAGCATTTAAATAGAAATGTATTTATTTTAAATACATGGAGTAATTTACTTCCCATTAAATGCTTGTAAATCAACAAATACTAATCCTGCCTATAAAATGTATGTGCCCACAGGACTGAAAAAATGTTTGCTTAAATTAGTTAGTATGTTCCTTAGAATCTGTTTATCAGTTGGTTTTTTGGCTGTATAGTTAGTGTCAGGGTCAACCTCAATTCATTCCGTATTTAATGACTGCCAAATCAAAGTTACGAATCAGAACCAATGTCATTTCAATGTGATATATATTACAGTATTCTAAGAAATTAACCCCATTTTAAATTAGACATTGTTGCTGCAAGAAGAGTGATCAATGACTAGACAAGGAGTCTAAGCCACTGGAAGAAAATACCTTAAAGTGATGGAAAATAGCATGACACTTCAGACTGAGAGATTGGTTTAAAAAATTAAGCTTGTGCTCCAAGTTCAACGTTACATATCCAGTATTAGTAAGACTAGTATAGAAATTCTTCCTTCCTTTCTTTTATTTTTCTCTGAATAGTAACAGATACAAGTTTCTAGTCTCAAATTCCTTAAATTTTTAATATTAAGTTCTATAGTTTTAGAAATCAATATTAGGAAAAATATATGAGACAATGGAATGTTTACAATGTATTTACTGCAAATTACGAACTGGCATTTGCTTTTGAGACAGGTCCATGTCAGATCTAAAATTTCAGTGCATGATGTTCCCTTTTAGGTAGTGAGGGGCAGATATCTACATTCAGAAGCTGGAAAAACAGTTAGCAAGCTTTGGCAGCATTTGCAAGAGCACTGGTTACAGAAAAGCATGCAGCATTTCGGTAGATACATCCTAAAAACCTGAGGCCAGTTAGATCTCCATTATCAGAAGGAGGCTCAGTACAATATTAAAAAAGATCATCAATCGTCCATTATGCATTTTTTTCTGTTATTGTTTTGGAACTATAGTCAATTTTATATGGTGTATTATTCTAGACTGGTAATAGCTAAAACTGTTATCTTTAGTTATGAGGAATAGGGTATGAAATATTTTTCTCAGATTGCAACCCAAAATGTTTATCCAGAATGGTAAAATGTCCAAAAATCCTTGATACATTTTCATATATCAAGGGCATATTGCATATTTTAATTCATTTTCTTCAACATGAGATGCATAATTAAATGGCAACACATATCCAATACCTCTAACTTTAGTAACAAATAATTGGCAATATTACAACAATTCTTACAGTAACAAGGAAAGCAGCATAATATATTAAGAAGACAGACTTCCTGGGTTTAAAGTTTGGCTCTACCACTTGTTAACATGAATTTGTGTAAGTCACTGGGCTATTCTTCAGTTCTTCACCTGTGAAATGGAGTAACAAAAAGAATACCATCTCACATTGCTGTTGTGAGGAGTCTGTGAAGCTGTAACAGTGTACAACAGGCTACGCAGAGGTATCACTGGGCATTCAGTAAACATTAAAAGTGTTAGCTACAATTTTATTACAATAAAAATTATAGTGACTGATGTTAATATAGACCACTACTAACTTTTAAGTATTTAGTAAGTGCCATGCATACTGATAGTATGCTCATGTTTAGCCCTAAAGGTATATTCTACTATATAGAGTAGATTCTCAAGATTTGTTATAAATACTACAATAGCAGGCAACATCTTGATGAAATACGGCAAAGTACAACTGACTTGTTGAGGAGACCCTTTCATGACTCTAATGAGGATCACTACCAGAACAGTGAAGTAATGACAACATGGAAAGTACTGGCAAGTTAACCAGTTCTGTTCACTCATTAGCTCACATTCAACGTTACCCAATATTCAGGGCAAGAAAATTATTAGCTTTCAGGGTCACTGGCTGATACTATTAAGAATGTTAAATCCCTGAAAGTTAAGGATATACTTAATGTAGCTATGTACATAAAGGTCATATCTTTATGAAATTCAAAATGTTCAGCTTTGTCTTTGGAACCTCTGATGTTGGCTTCCATATTGTTGCATACAGATGGACTTACTACAAAAGCCTTAGTGCTTCTGTGCCAAATAACAATTACCATTACCTTGACTAGTCAGACATAGACATTTAACACATTTGTAGCACTGTATTTTTGTTATTCAATGTACAACAGTTAGTGAAGATTCTTAAGGATAGCCTGAAACCATTATTAGATTTCATAAATAAATTTAACAAAGGCTTGCTTAACATTTAGTTATGAAAAACATTTCACATACTTATACTAAATCCATAGACAGTCTTGTGGTGCATAATGGCATTTGGTCAATGGTGACAGCACACACAAAGGTGGTCCCTAAGATTACACGGTTAATCATAGAATGATGGTGCTACACAATGTCTGACAAAGATGGCATTGCCTAATGGTGCCTCTCTCAGAACTCATCCCTGTCTTCAAGCAATATGTGACTCTAATTCTTATAATCGCAGAAAGAATGCTTTAATTAGCTTAAAAGTTATGTATTTAAAATCAATATTAATGTATTTACAATGCTAAAAACATCACATGTAGTTTAGAATGAAGATAGAATATACCTTGTGTTCATAAATTATCAAGGTTCATAACAGTCCTCTAAAAGTAAAATAAATAAACATTATTTTCACATAATTGATAGAAATGTACTCATGATGGTAAATTCTCTTAACAGTCTGACATTTCATAGGAAAGGCTTCATAAAATTAAGAGTAGTAGGTATATTTCTAAGTTAAAGATTGAGTTTTTAAATTAGGCTTATTTTTCTGTTCTTCACTCATTGCCTTTCTTGTCACTTCCTGGGCTCCCACTCCTCCCTACCTATGGTCACTGATGGTACAGCACCAGCATGCATGGTCCATCGCAGGGACCAAGGACAGCACCAGTTTGCTGGAATTGTCCACAAGCACAAAATGTACCTGAAGCAAGGAAGAAAGTCTCGCTGGAGGCCTCTATCACTCTCTTCTCTCCGGAGAAGTCCTTAGGAGAAGGTGTGAAGCCCACTCCCCACCTTGCACACAGATACTTTTCTGATGCAGGTGGGGGACAGACCACCCATGCCACCCAGTTACATGTCCTTAACATGGACGATGTCCTCTGCAATTGATGATTTGAATGGTGTTGTTCTTCAAAAAAACCCTATCCATTACTATATGTGTCCCTTTGAGGAAGCTGAAAACAAGCACAATAAAATTAAAAAATGAGGAGGCACAGTAGTTAAATTTTTTACCCCAATAGTTTTCCTGTAAGTTTTGCAGATGAGTTTTGACCTAATAACGAATATTTACTGTCAATATGTAGAGATTATTTTGTGAGGCTGAATTGTCCAAACTCCTATCTATTTCCAGCATCAATACCCAAGTACAAACTGAACATCAGCTATTTATGGGGAAAGATTTATATTTTCAAAAGGCATATTTTTATCTTTTCAGTGGAGAATGTTGAGACCACATGTGCTTTGTCTAGGTCAGTGTTCGGAAGTTTTTGCTTGCTTTGTTCCCTGGGAATTCTCCTCATTCTTCTCCAGCTGGGGGAGGGGGCTCACACAGCTTGTACAGCCTAGAAAAGACACAGGAAAGTCTGACAGTTACCCATGTATTGCCCTTTCCAGAGATGTTTTTATTAGTAGAACAAATACATAGTTGATAATTTCTTGGTTCCATGAGTCATAATCACATTGCTTGTTTCACTAAAAATAGCGTATGAATTAGAAAACTAAAATTTTGGTTTTATATTTAGAAAGCACCCATGTTTCTTTATGTATCTAGATGTCTACTGATTCAGCACATTGCATTGTTTTTTCAACCTGCTGTTCTGCTCAGTGCTGCCTACCTGGGCTGTTTACCTTGCTGGTAATAAATCTGTTCTCTGAATCCCAGACAATGATGTTGTTATGATAAGTGCCATCACATCTATCACAATTATCATTGTGTAAAATATCATCTATCTGACAGGAATCTACTTAATTTCTGACAAATTTTAGAAATTTACTTCATTTTATACTGCCCCTGTGCTGAAGGAAGTTGGCTGTGGATGGGCTAATTATGGCAGATTCCTGAGGCCTAAATGTCAAAGGCACAATTAGCTGGTATTTCCTAAATAGTTACTTCTGGGCTCTGCCCAGCCCTCACTAACCCGTCAGTGGAACCTCCAAGTGGGTTGGAAGCCACTTTAACCATGGTGATGCCCAGAGATGCTCCCCCTTTGCAGCACAAGTCTAGTTGTCTGAATATATGCAGCATTAACATGAAGCCCAGGGGAAATAATCAGGGTTACACAAGTTCCAATGCTCTACAGTGTCCTAAATGGTAAAGTCCTAACCACAGAACCAAAGGAAACAAGAACAAAATAGCTGCCAGATAATTATGGTCACATCAGGGCCAAACGAATTACTTACAGTGAGAGAAGACAAGTTAAACTAAAGTAGAGCTACACCTGTTTCTGTTAACAGTTACCAAGGTCACACTGAGCTTAGGCTGATATCTCAAAAGCAGAATTCAACTTTTTATATTATTATTATTATTAGTGGTGGTACTGGGGTATGAACTCAGGGCCTCATGCATGCTAGGCAGGCAGTCTACCACTTGAGCCACTCCACCAGTCATTATTATTATTAATGCTGAGGACTGACTCCAGGCTGCACAATTGCTACACATAGCCTCTACCACTGAGCTACATACATCCCAGCCTCAACTTTTCACCTTTTTAAAAGTAGTCCAAACCCAGGGATAGCCGTGGTGATTTATTCTTTTTACAGATTAAATTGAACACAGCTTGAATGAGTTAACCAATTTAGCAAATTATAAATTTCCTCTCCCTTTGACATTTAATCTCATGCTAATTCTAAATCAATGGAGAAGAATGAGAAAGATTTAATATTGAGTTGTAAATCTGGCTAATAAAATGAACTTTCTTAGTCTGGAAACAAAAGTTATTGTCTTTGGAGGTTGGCAAAATGTACTTCAAGTCTGGAAAGTGGTTTATGCTCTATAGATTATCTGCATGGAGGAGGTGAACACTGAACTAAGGACATGCCACATCAGAAAACCTTATTTCATTCTTCCCACAGAAAAGAATGCATTAAATTGAGCTGATGTACTTGAAAATTTCTTTTGCAGCTGAAGGATATGGTGTTGCTTCAAATTGTATTCCCGGGGCTGGAAAAATAGAATGATCAGAAAGCTCTTTTCCTCCTTAATTTCTGTCCTCTCATTTTCCTGACAGTGCTGCCTAATGGGTGAAAAAGCACAATGCCTGAGTCAGGTAAAACAAAAATGGGAGGATGGGTGGCAAACATCCAACCCCATGAGCTCTGGGCTGAGCCATCACTTTCCATTACCTTGCTCTGCACGTTTGCACATAATGTAACCAATGCTACTGGGTAGACGATTCTTTGAAATGTCTGCCTTGCAAATTGGAGCAAAGGCTACTCCCTGAGATCACCTAATGAAATATTAGCTTTGGGTACTGTGGAGCTGGACAGCTTCAGCTTCTGTGGGGCTTCTTGGAAGCGACTCAGGGTTATTTGAGTTCAGACACATTTGTACTGGAAATTGTGGAGCTCTGGGAACTTAGAGCAGGCAGATAAAGTTTGGAAGTGAAATGTAATCCAAAGATTTGGATTCCAACTCTGCACTGGGCATTTGTGCTTTGGCAGCTAACCTGTTGGGTAGTGGGAGATCCTTGCCCAACATTTGGAATCCTGGCTGCATTCTTATTCCACCCAGGCACACTGGTGGCCTGCATAAAAAAGGGTTGTTGTTGGCTCCACTTTGTCCTGTTCCTATTTGAGCTCAGGCAGCCATCTTGGAGCTGGCATTTCAGCCCAAATTCAAATCTGCAGAGAGAACTCTTAAACTTCATTCTATAGATCTTGCCCTTCATCCTTCTACAAAGCAAAAAATAAAAGTTGTATTAAAAGAGACTACCAAAAAAAAAAAAAAAAAAACCACCACCTCCTTCATAGAAAAAGTATCCATGTACCCTATCTTATGGCAATTCTCTCCATCTTAACAGATGAGAAAACTGCATCTCAAAGAAAAAAGAAAAAAAAACCCTGACTAATAAGGTCATGTAAAAGCAGCACCAGGGGCTCAAAACCACTTTTTTTCACTTCCAACCTAATTAAACAAATAAAGAAAATCAAGCCTTAACAGCACAATAGTTTCAAATTTTGTAACATAGGAGGGAATAAGGCCAGAATATATTATTTGGTTCTTGGTGAGGATTTTCTTAGTTCTTTGAAGAGCAAGTACACATACAGAAGTCAGAGAGGAAGGACTGCCTCTTCCCCTGCCTCATTCCCATTCTGACATGCATACAAATGACTTCCTTTGTCTTTCTACTCAACTCCTTGAGCACATTAAGTGTTTCTCATCCATCCTGATAACCCAATGCAAAAGCAGTTCTGTACCCGTCTCAGACATGGATTCCAAAAGGGAGTATATGAAATGTGACAGAGCCAAGAATGTCCAGGAAGCCCACCTCCAGGTGCATGTTTGAACTGTCACCATCCAGAACCAATCTACATCAGAATTATTAAACTCCAACACTTAGCATTCTGGTCCTATAAGTATTATATTCATCTGTCCTATGCTGTGACTATGATCACTTTCTCCTTTGTGAATTCCAGAGCAACTATCTCTTGTTCTCTTTCAACTTCCCCAATTGCTCATCTTTGATTCTGACTCCTGTGTTTCTCTGCTTTCTCTTCACTACTGGCATATCCCTGGCAGTGTTCCCGACCTTCTCCATCAGTGTCACCCTTTCACCATGATAACAAAATTCTTTTCGAGTTTTTCACTGACCTCTTACACATTGATGACTCACAGGACAACTCTACCTATTCTCCCGCCAGTTTCAGATCAGTACACTGAGCTGCCTACCAAAGCATCTCTACGAAGTTGTCTCCTTGATCTTCAATCTCAGTCTCGCTAACATAAACTTACCATCTTTGCCTAATGCATGCTCTTTCCTCCTGCATCCACTATCTCAAAGACAAGATTCATTAACCCTTTGTTATCCAAACCAAAAATTCTATGGTCCTCCTAGGATCTTCATTTGCCCTACCTCTTTTCCTTCATTTAGTGTTCAATGACTATTACTTCTGTCTTTAAGTTTCTCTCTACTCCACCCCCTCATCTAAGTTCTCATCACCCCCATAACCTTCTTTCAAGCTCTTTTCTTCCATCTTAGCTGTCCTTCCATGGACCCTTCTCATGTTGTCTGAGATAAATTCTAAATTCAAATCTTCCAGATAGGAGGACTGGTATTGCCTTCTTATTTTCTTCAAGTTAAAATGAAAACTTTCCAGTATCCTTACTCATGTGACCCTTGGCTATACCTCCAGACTTATTCTGCATTATTCTCAATCACATTCAACCATCAGTTATAGAGATCGAGGTGTAGTTCTCAGAACATGAAGTGTTCCCTGGGCACTGGTGTCATTGTCTCTCCTGCCTGGGACACCATTCCACATGAGCATCCTGTGACCTCCCTTCCTCATCCTTAGGGGCATTAAGCCCCTTCTCTGTGTTTTCATGTCAACTTGTGCCCACTTCTATCATGGTTATTATCAGACACTGTGTACTATTTTTATTTTATTCACTTATTGCTCCACTACATTTCAACAACTGGTAGTCTTTTCCCTTGCTTTTAACAAAGGGTCTACCATCTACAGACACATACAAAAGTCAATATATGTTTGCTAAGTGAATTTTTTTAAAGCAAAGAAAGTGGATGTTGAAAGGCAAATGATCATAGAGGGGGTTGGGGACTTTGAACCAAATTTGACCCATTCTCTAACTGAGCACAGAAGACCTCCATGAATGTACTTTTCAGAAACATTTCACAAGCTTTGCCTGCAGGTGCCCTGGCGTTGAGAGACAAATGTATCCTTCAACTTGCTCTAGCTGTGAAAGATCCCAGTCCCTCTGTGCTCCTCTGAAGTCTCTCTGCACCCCCACAGACCACGTCCCACACTCTACCTTTCCTGACAGTGATGTCTTCATCATCTCATCTCTTTAAAAGAAAGCCAGAGCTACTTCTGGCTCAAATTTATATTCTTTATGGGGTGCACTGCATTTCTTAAATAAAGTAAATATTTGAAATTACTCTTGATTTCTCTCTCAGGGTTATGATTCCCTTGCAAAAAGTGTCAACTTTATAGCTGGCACTCTTTATTGTGTTTCATTTCAAGTGTTTTACATACTCAATAAAGAAAGAAATTGAGTTTGTCAGTTTCTTCTCTTATAGTCAGCTTGCACATTGGTTTATTGATCAGGATGCTGAAGTCTCATCCCAACCCAAATGATTATTTGCACTTACAAAATCTAGCTAAAAACACCTTGTAGAACCATTATCTTGTTTTCTGACTGGAATTTTAACACTTCAGTGGGTCCATTATACAAATATACCATGTCTGCTCAAGGCATTGTGGAGAGGATGCTTATGTGGAAAGATTCTTTAGTAACAGAAAGTCTTAGATTCTCATCTAATCAGCTATAAGAGATGACATTAACAAGACTGGAAGATGAAATAGAGTTAGTAGTCAGCACTAAAAATAAATGCAAGTAGAACATGAGTGCTCCATCCATTTCCAGGGGGAAAATAGGTTTTCCTTTTTGAAAGCACTTTCACTGCCCACATAGTTTTTTAGAATGAAATATAACTTCATATGTGCTGCAATTATCATTTTCACTCTGGTAATGGTGTTGTAAATAGAAACAGATAGTGTCTTGTCTATGACATCACTTGGAGGAGCCTACTTTTTGTTAAACTGCAAACTTATAAAAGCAATTAAATGTAAGAGAAATTACTTAATTTTGTCCCACTTCAAAACAGATAGCTGCCTACCCTAATCACCACAAAAATCCAACAGAAGACATCCCTCTACAGCTACCAGCTGTGTTCATTTATTTTAAAGGTGGGTTGGAGTCCTTTCTTATGAAGATATGTGAACTGTCAATATTTAGCATAACAAGCCAAAAGCCCATTAATTTGCTTATTCATTCTTGAGTTCCTGAAATCAGTTTAGATATTTGAAATCTACGATGTAGGCACTATGAGGAATAATAAAGAAAAACACAAAAATACCTCCTGAGAACTCATACCGAGGTTGGGCAAAGAATTGTAACAATATACTGCCACTCAGCAGGATAAGGGATATTGTAAAGCAGAAAATGGTATCTAAGATGACTTTTGTGGGATAAGTGGGAATTTTCAATGTATATGTAAATGGGAAAGGCATGCTCAGAAATAGGAGGATAAATGAAAGAGGCATTTTGGCATTTGAAATGGATGGAACTTTCAAAACGAAAAAATAGAAAATTCCCATTTAATTCTGAGAGCATTTATGTCTAATCACATTAGTCACTGGGTGTTTACAAGAGCCATCTCCATGACTACTGTCGGTGTGACAATGACCCTGGTCACACGCTACAGCAGGAGCACTTGCCACGAGTAACACTGCCTGGGAAATGCTGAACAGGTGATACACTTACCTGGGAGCTGACTGAGGGGTCCGGTCTCTGACTCCCAAATTCTTTGCTGTGTTTTGAACTCTTGCTCCCTGAAAGGAAAATCAGTTTTACCTCTACATTGTATTTGCAGTTATTTAACATACTGTTAAGAGTTGAGTGTACCAGCAAGGTATTTTATTTAACATTCAGAGCAAGAAATCACCACCTAAGCATTTTCAAAATGAACAGTTTCAAGAATCAGAGTATGTTCTGCTGCTTCAAATGATTAATATTTCCTTCCACAGCCATCTAAATCATTCAAAATAAGTTTAGCAGCTTCTCGTTGTTCACTATCTCATCCATGCCCTTGAAATAACAACTTAAGGGGTTGAAAACAGGAGATGAGCAGGCATCGCCAGTTTTGTGGACTGCTCCACAAATTCTTTCAAACTCACACACCTGTTTTCTCTTAGTTGAATATTTTACACTTAAATTTGGCAAGAAGATATTCTCTTAAGATAGTTGTAAAGCAATTTCTGAACAAGCCATGTCCATACGGACCTTGGAAATCTAAGAATTTTGTCTCAAAGTTTAAGATATGAAGACAATCTTTTTTCATTAGTGTGTATAGTTGTGAAAACAATGGATTTCTTTATGACAATTTCATACATGTAACTAATGTACTTTGATTATATTTAGTCCTAATTACCCTATCTCCCCACTCCTTCCTTGCATTCGTCCCCTTTCCTTCCCAAATACTTCCCCTTATTTGTTCACATCATTTTTTCTTCTAGTTGCCCACTATTGCTGCTTTCTTGTGAGAGAAAACATCGTATTTGTCTTTCTGAGTCTGGCTTATTTTGCTTAACACTATGATCTCCAGTTCCATCCATTTTCTTGCAAACGATGTAATATGATTCCTTATAGCTGACTAATACTCAGTTATAAATATACCACATTTTCTTTATTCATTCATCTTAATGGGCCCCTAGGCTGATCCTATAACTTTGCCATCAGGAATAGCACTGTGAACACATGGTTGTATGGGTATCATTATGCCTGCTAACTTTGATTTCTTCAGGTATATACCCAGCAGTGCTATAACTGGATCTTATGGTCGATCTAATTTTACTTTTCTGAGGAACTCACATCCTGATTTCCAGAATGGCTGGACTAATTTACATACCCACAAATAAGGAGTTCCCTTGCTCATAGTCTCACCAGCAGTTGTTGTTTGTTTTCTTGATGATAGCCATTCTGACTAGGGTGACATATAATCTCAATGTCATTTTGATTTGACTTATGGTCAAGATTTTTCGCATCTCTGCTCCTCACATAAGTTGGTCTACAGATTTCGTTATTTTTGTTCTTGTATCCTTATCTGGGTTTGCTGTTTTAATTGAAAAATTAAGACCAACTAGCATCTACACTTAGGGTGATTATTAAAATGTACTGGTTTCTCCCTTCATCTTACAGGTTTGCTGGTTTAGTGAGTTAATAATGTTTGACTCTTTCCTAATTCTTATCAATTCTTCTAGCAGGACTTATTCTTTCTCCACTTCTGATGCTTATCTGTATCTTTTATCCTCTTCTGCATGTATTGTCTTCTGCAATGTTGACTTAGTGGTAATGGATTGCTTTAGTTTATGCTTACCATGGAAGGTTTTTATATCTCCTTCACTTTAAAGAATAATAGTATTTGACATAGTAGTCTTTTGGCAATTATTTTGTTCCATATTTGAAACACATCAGTAATATTCTCCTGAACTTTATGGTTTCTGTTGAGGGGTCTGCTGTTATTCTGATAGGTTTGCCTTTGTGAGTTAACTTAGTGCTTCTCTCTTGCAGCTTTCAATATTCTTTGTTTTGTATTCTTGCCATTTTAACTTAAATATGAGAGGTTTCTCATATTTGGAGAGGTTTCTTTCTTTTAGGATTCTAAAGTTTTCCTATATGTGGATATCCATTTCTTTCCCTAGATTTGGAATTTTTTGTTATCATTTCATTGAATATGTTTTCAGTGTTGTTAGTCTATACTTCAGTTCCTTCTTCTGTACCAGAGATTGTAAGTTTGGTCTCTTAATTATATCCCAGAGGTCTTAGATATAGGGTTATATTTGCTTATGTTTTCTAAAATTGTTACCTGAATGTAACAATTTATCAACTTTATCATCAATCCCTGGCATTTTTACCCCACCTGGTCTAGTATGCTAGTAATGCTTTCAATGAATTTTTAAAATTTGTTTTGTTGAGCTTTTATTTCTGAGATTTTTTTTTTCAGAATCTGTCTCTTTGCTGAATTTCTTGTCCCAGTTGTTAAATTCCTAATACAAGTCTTGAGTTGACTATTTCATTCATCTGCTTAAAGACAATCTTCTTAGCAAAGAAAAAGTCTATAGTCTGTCAAGTTTGTAAATAAATTTACAATTATTTTTCAGTTCCTAACAGAAATTAATTACTACAAAGAACCGAACACCAGAGCTGTGGCTAGGAATAGGTAAATGGGGGATTATTCAAAACAAAAAATTCAAATATTTGAGCTTCCAAATAATGAACAAAGTAAAGGGAAGATAGAAATAGAGAAAAGGAAAAATCAAAGAATATTTTCTCAACAGGGACTTAATTTTTTTTTAAAGCAAACATAGGAAGAGGGAGGGACAAAAGGATAGATAGGAATGGATTTAGGAACTGCAAAACACTTTTTATTTTGAAGTAACTTTAAACTTAGCAAAAAGTTGTAAAAGCAGTACAGAGATTTTACACAGCACACCCAGTTTCCCCTAGTGCAAATTCTCCACTTAACTGTAATGTAATGTCAAACCAGGAATCAGCACTGGTACAATACTGTAACTACACTGCAAATGTTACTGAAATCCCACCATTCTACCACATGGACATTCCCCTTCTACTCCAGGACCCAACCCAGCATCTGTTTTCATGTATGCTTGGTCTCCTGCAACAGTTCCCCATCTTTTCTTTCTTGACCTGAGCACTCCTCGTAGAAAATGTTCGTTATTTTATAGAACATCTCGATTTGCATGGCTCATGCTTTCTCATGAACAGGAAGAGGAAATGCATTTTTGACAAGAAAATCACACAGTGATGTTGTGCCTTCTTCTGTGCATCACATCGGGGGACACTTGATGCCAATATGTCCTATCACTGGTGATATTAACTGTGATCACTTGGCTGAAGGGGTGACGGCCAGATTCTTCCACCATAAAGTTACCACTTTTCCTTTTGAAGGCTTAACAAAGACACTGGGGAAGATAATATAAGACTATCCAAATACTCTGTTTCTCTCAAACTTCTGTTCACTGTTACAGCTACCATTGTGTATCTTATCTGCAAAAACAATACTACAGTATTTATGAACTGACATTTTACAGAAGTAAAAAACAATTATTTCTGTTCCCTAAATTATTTACTTATTTAATTATGTATTCAACTCAACACAATCTCATTCTGATTTTATTCTATAAGATATGATCCAATATTTTTAATCTTTTTTTTTTTTTTTTACTCAAATTGTTCCAGTTTTTGATGCTGGGAGTTTTTATTGTTGCTTTCTTGTGACTTTTTGATATATCCTTATTGTTTTAGTACTTTTCATTTTCTGGTACCTCAGTATTCTGCTGGTTCATCTTTCATGTTTCAGATGTTAATTCACTATTTCTCCAAAGGCCCTAGATCTTTTTATTGGAGAACTGTATTTAGAAGCCAAGATCTGGATATTGGGTGTCCTTATTAATACTGGCAAATAATTGCTTCTGGGCCTTTCTAGTAGGCAGGGCTAGTTTTACAAACACAAGCATGTTCACACATCTGTACTCATTTCTACATCTGTCTATGTCCATATGTGTGTTTGTGTGGTGGTGTCCCTCGGTTCATACTGATACTGTTAAAGTACAGTGGGGTTCATTAGAGAAAGCAGTCTTCTCCTTATTCTTATCTGTAACTTATTTCTTCGTGAGTGACAATCTAGTCTCATACAACATGTTTACTTACTTGTTCAATGTTAGTGCACATATAAATTCATTTTAGAATTTCTAAGTCATATTCATGTGAAAAACAGATTTAACTAACAATATTCATGTATGTTTTTCATCTATAGTTTTATAATATCCCAGTAAGTAATTAATGAAACATTTTTCCTTTCTTAAAAGCTCATGCTTGTCATGTTGAACACTTCTATTGTTGGATTTTCCTTGAATTCATCGACACAATTCTTCGTACATTTGACACACCAGTTACTTGTATTTTTACACCATTGCTCACATTGCTGTCTCTACCTAACCATCCTTCCTGTCCCCTTCCTTCCCTGTCTGTGTTACTTCTATTCTCTAAGGCCCAAATAATATATCTTAGCTTTCCAGTAACTGATTAGTCATTTACTACATCAGGTACTGTTTTAGGTGCATTAAGTATATTGATCTTTTTAAGCCTCAAAACAACACTATCAGGCAAGCACTGTCATTATTCCTGTTATAATAGTGAGGAAACCAAGGAACAGAGAAGGTAAATATCTTGCACTGAATCTCACAGATAGTGAGCTGGGATGGGCCTGGGATAATGGAGCTGGGATTCAAATTGGGGCTGCTGAGCTTCAGTCTTTGCTCTTAGTCACTACGAATTAATTCCCTCTGTGAGTGACCCTTTTCTCCCCACTTATTGGAGTTAGAACTAATTTCATTTAGCATTTATTTTGTACTGGCTATTATTCTGGAAAACTGTGATACCAAAATGAGTAAGACTCAGGTTCCAGCCACTGAGGACACTGTTCTGTGTCCTGATGTGTGGAAGCTGGACACCGCAGAGCCCTAGCTTGCCAGGTCTGTATCGCTGCACTTTGACAACACATGTCCAGAACAAGACTAGGCCAGGACCTCACAGTCCTCATGTTTTTGTTCTTTGTCGCCATAATAATGCCTTAATGCTGAAGGTAAGAAGTCAGAATACTTTGGAGCATCTGTTTTTATGGAAAACTGTATATTTATAATGTAAATGACAATTTTTACCTGAAGACTTTTATTAATCAGATCAGTTGGTTATGTCAAAGTGCTGCCTATGGTTATTATAATCATATCAAAAATTGAAAGTATATGGTATCCTCTTCTTTATTAACTTTTCTTCAAAGTCAAGCAGTGAGTAAAAACAACTCCTCTATGAAAAATACACATACGAAATCTGTACATGAAAACAATACTGAAATTACAAATAAGAACAATAAATCATGCAAAAGCTACTTGTCTCTAAAAGAAACTTAGGACCTTAGTTTATTTGTTAGACACTGTAAAACTTCAGTATTTTGCAAGTCTTTTTTTTTTTTTTTCCCTGTGGTTCCGGGGCTTGAGCTCTGGGTCTATACCTTGAGCCACTCCACCAGTCCTTTTTGTGTTAGGTATTTTCAAGATAGGGTCTCGTGAACTATTTGTCTGGGCTGCTTCAAACCATGATCCTCCTGATCCCTGCCTCCTGAGTAGCTAGGATTACAGGCATGAGCCACTGGCGCTCAGTGCAAGTCAGTTATTATACCTTAATATATAATTAAAATTTGATAATGAAATAATCAAATGTTAATACATACTAGATATGGCAAATATTCTAACCACATAGCTTGTGAAAAACTGGGTCAAAATGGTTAAGTCATTTTCCTAGAGACTGAAAGGCAAAAGGAGCAGAGATCCACCTTAGATCTTTGGTTCAGACTTGCATTCTGACTGCTCGGCTCATAAATTGGGGAGAACTGGCTTATGGACTAGACCCTGGCCACTGCTGAACACTGGGAAGAAGATCAGAAGCAGAAGGAACATTCAGGAATATCTGCTGTGCACCAGTCTGCTCAGTTTCCCTAAAAGAGGGCCCCAGTCTGTGTGATCTTTCACGAAGACATGACAAATCAGTCTTTGTTTCTCACAGTCATTTGGGACCAAGGAGCCAGAAACAAAGGAAGAAAGCTACCTCTTCTAAATGCATTTATTTAAAAAATAGGGGGAAGAAAGAATGATAAATACTGAAAAAAAATAAATTAGCTTAGAAATTAATGAGAATTTTACAAGGAATTGTATGACTTTTCAGCCTTTTTGATTATATTTTAAATAAAACATCATATGTTAATAGCATTTAAATACAATCTATCATGTTTTAAAGTACTTTTTGGCAGTTAAATGAGTAAATAGGGACTATATTATTTTTAGTATCTCTACTTTCTCTATTCCCATTTTTGGTTTTAAGAAGTTAAACAGGTTAGCTAGAATTAAGATTGTTCAAATTCAGAGAGTAAAATGTATAAGTAGTTAACTTCTAATAACCTCCTTAGTGGAGTATTCTAAAGTAAGGCTAACTCCAGTCTCTTTCTGGCCATAAGCCATAAGTCTTATGATGTAAGTCTTCCTGCATGCTTAGACTAAGAGCTACACAGTAAAACCAAAGGCACTTAATCTTTCTGTATGTCGCAGAAACCCATATCCCAACTCTGATATGAATAATCACAAGTTTACTATGATTTGTTTTTTAAAGCAGAATCTTTATTGTACTCCCCCAAACCCTCTGGCAATTTGCATACATTTGCTGCCCTTTGCCAGCTGGAGGACTATAATTCACATGCTGCTGATGGGTCTAACCTTTACTTAGCAAATCCCTCTTTGACCGTCTAAGATCTTGGCTGTCAATCTTCAGCTCCTTGGTTCCTAATGGGAAGTGTGACGCATGTGCCCTCTCTGGACCTGCTCTGTGCATGGAGAATGCAGCCTGTGCGGGACTCCTGAGTTGAGTTTTCACTGGCTTGCTTGACATTCTGTAGTGTAACCTTGGGAGCAAGCCCAAAGGGACTTACATATTTGCCTGAGAGTTAAATGCTAAGTCTTTAATAAATAAAGCAGTCATAATCACAAAAGAATATCTTAAAAATTAGATCACTCACTGCCACTGGACAACTCAAAGCAAGTCAGTAAATAGATTTGCTAGTGTGGTAGAACATAAGAAAAGGTGATAGAATCAAAAATAAAAATTGATGTCGTTTGTTATTCTTGTCATTCCTTAGGTATCTTTTATTTAGATTAAGCCCATTTTCTAACCAGTAGATAGGCAGTTAGTGCATTTTTGTCTTTTTAAAAAGAGTTTTAAAAGTTAAAAACTAAGCTACCAGCCAGACACCAGTGGTTCATGCCTGGAATCCTAGCTACTTAGGAAGCAGAGATCAGGAGGATTGTGGTTTGAAGCCAGCCCAGGCAAATAGTTTGCGAGACCCTATCTAAAAAAAGAACCATCACAAAAAAGGGCTGGTGGAGTGGCTCAAGTTGTAGGCCCTAAATTCAAACTCTAGTAAACCCCACAACACACACACAAAAACAACTAAGCTACCATTTTTAAAATGTTTTTGCGTTAGGGTATAGATAGTTCTTCCTACTTATAACAGAGTACATTCTCACCTATAAGTATTCCAGTGACCTAAAGACAGTTCAAAGGTTGCTATTTATCTTTTACAGGAAAATAGGAGGTCAATGCTTTATCCTTGGAATAATGCACACACTTCTTAGCATGGCCTGGAAGTCCCTGGGAGATCACAGAAAGAATCAGGACCTTTAATTTCCTTCTCTTTGCCTCATCCCTCCCTCAATCTATTCCCCAAGACTTACTAAATCACCTACAATTCTCAGAAATGCCATAAATCCTTTATCCAATCTCCTTCTGTTCCATTTTGTGTGGCCAGTTCCCTTTACTCTTCCAGGTTACTGCATAGACATCCTTCTTCCTAGGTTGTCCAACACTCTTGGAGAACCCTCCTATATGTGCTGGCCCTATGTTCTTCTCATGGGAGTGTTTCTTATTCATTACCTACCTAGATATCATGTTCCTAGAAAAGTACCCATCACATCCAGGCACCTGCCAGACACGTGACAAATGAACAAAGTCTGATCAAACAACTTCCCCCAAACAAGCCCAAGACTCACCTGCTTCCGCATCACGTCTGTAGCCTGCATGATGTAGCGAGGAGGTAGCCCGTGGCTTCTGGCCAGAATGATGGCCTGCTCCAGAGTCACACTCAGGGTGCACCTGCGTGCCAAGGCGAGGACAAGTCAGACGTACTGCTTCTGATGCACTCTGCAAGAAAATCTGGACTACTAATTTCAAAATCAGAACTACTAATTTCAAAATCAGAAATCAGTCAAAAATCAAAGTGACTAGACAACAAACCACTTTGATTTTCCTACATGGAACACCTGTCTAAAAATACCCCTACAGGCAGCTGGTGTCATAAATGAAGAATTTAAATTTAAAACAAACGTATGTAGAGTTATGTTTATGACAGTGCTTCACCATTTGCCTATCAACAGATGAGTGGATAAGGGAACTGTGGTATATGTACACAGTGGAGTGTTACTCATACAGAAGAACAATAGTAGGTCTTTTCCAGGAAAACAGGTAGAACTGGATTAAACAATTGATGTGATTTAGAAGAAATGGCTTCATAATATTTATTTCTACATATTGATAGTTAATAGATTTAAATGTATGCCCATCTATCTTAGAAAAATAAACTGAAATTACTGTTCGGTAGGGTCAGATTTGATTTAGTAAGTGTAGGACTCAGTGAAAAGTACTTGTAGGGGCCATTGTAATTAGCTACTGGAGAAGTGGTGCCCAGGGTCGCCCTGGGAGCTGAGTTCTCACCCAGAGCCAGAAGCTGGCAGCCTTTGTTCTCTCCCTTCCCTTAGGCATTTCTTTCATATCCATCTTCATTTTTTCACGCTCTGGCCTCTGAAGTGTTTTTCAGGGGAACCTTTTGCACACATTTCATAAAAGTGCTCATTAGCGATAGATGTTTTTCCTAAAATTTGTATTCGTGAATTTTGTTTCATGACCTTTTGTGACTTACTGATGGTTCGGTTAGCATTTTTCTCCATGTTTGCACAAACCCCCCACAGTGTGGTGTGCTCTGCCTATGTACCGTCTTTATCTGTCTTTTCCCTACAAGTAGCAATAAATGACCAACGGCAATGTGGTTGGTGCTGTGTGGGAGGAGCTAACTCATTAGTTTTGATTGTGACACTGTAATATAGAAGTCGATACATTTGGTAGAGTTTGATACTGATGAATTAAGAAAAAGAGAAGGGAATTTAAACCATTATTATTGTAATAGTAGACGATGACCATGTGACGACAGATAACTGAATCCTGAAGAGAAATGTGTTGCCATACATGGGCTGTTGAGTGACTTGAAAAGCAGCTTCTCATGACTATTACAGGGGATAGTAATCTATCCCCTGACGAGCGTCTTGTGGTACACGGCACTCACAAACGTTTTGAGTCTGAGTCACACAGCACTGCATACTCTGTCACATGTCCAAGCACACTGCAGAATGGTCTATGCCAATGAAGGCCAAGCAGTGTAACTGACAGTCTTATGTTTAAAAAATCAATCTTCTACAAAGCATTTAATTGCCTTTCTACTCAACAGACCATAACCTTTTCTCCTCTGTAAGATCTCCTCCACTCCAACTTGAAACCTTTATTGATCTTAACATTTTAATCAATAACTTTCATTACACTAGCTGAATAAAGCCAAGAAAAGAAAATCTTTATTTTTTTCTAATCATGATGAAATATACCGGTGCTTTCCTGATGAAATGTGACTTGCCCCACTCCACTTACAACAAACACACACTGTCAGGGGTTTTTAACGGGCATCCTGTTATTTCATCCGTTTTTTAATCCTTTTAAATTGATTTGTTCCTCCTTCTATCAAGTTGTAGTAAACAGCAGCCCAGAAGCAAATTATCTGGCAGAGAATTTAAACAATTTCACTGCAATCTGGGATCAATGTGGCAGGTAACATGCAGGGTACCTCAAGTGTCACTGCTCTAGAACCAATTACACGCCACCTGACAGAAACACCTGCCTTCAGTGGAGATGTATATTTCCTTTCTCCAGCACATCCAAAAAGAGAGAAGTGCTCCCACCCTTGTCTTTTCATATCAACCAGTGTGTACATTCCAATGAGGTCCCAAGACTGAGATGCAATTTTTAAAAAGTGACAGGCTTTGAAAGAGACAGCCATATTCAATTCAGATTCGTGGACCCCTCAGAAGCCTGGTGTGGAAGAAAGATGAGTTCACAACTCTGCTGTGCAAACACCATTATACGCCTCACAGCCTTTTGTCTCCTCTCAACTGTCTCAATCTGAAAATCAAGTGGAGAAATTCAGCATTGGCAAGAAGCATTTGGCTCTGGCCTTCTCTAAAAGACTCCGGCTCCAGAAAGTGGCACATAGTTTTTCGGTGGTGCATGAATGTATAATCTGCATCAGGTTTCATAAGAGATCATTTGATTTTATGGGCACTTTTCACTACAGAGACTGAACAAATAACCTTGGGCAAGAGAATGGAAGGAGCATTCAAACGGCCAGGAACTAAGTAGAACCCTGTTCTGTATGAGGTTTCTCACCTGACCACTCAATCTTCCTTCTAGAATGATCTGTTTTCACATTGAAGACTTAAATTAAAATTCAAATAAATCTATATTTTTACACTCTGTAAAAATATGGGCCTTTGAATTTTTCAACTTCTTCTAAGTACTGCACCATTATAAAAATTCAGACAACTTCCCTAGGAGTCAAAAAATAGCAAAGTAAATGCACAGAGTAGTATTTGTCCTTCATAAAAAGGCAAATCTATACACTGAGGGGAAGTTTTCCCATAATTTCAGTAGTAAGACATTCCAAATACTGATTTTCCCATATATTTGTGAAGAAGCACACTTGATGAGGTGGCAAAAATATACACAAATGATTAGCTTCACCATAGAAAGAAAAAGGAAAGAATCGATACATCTGTGCTCATGATGAGTAAATGTTCTTGACATTTTTCTCACAGAGAACAGATCCCAAATCACTCAGATATTTAGCACAGACTTAAAATGATAAATGTAACCTATAGCTAATGGGTCTAATTTAATGAGAAAGACACTTTGATTTAGTAATCCTATGGAAGAAACATAAGGAAGTACTTTCCTGGTCATTCATTCTCTCATTCATTTGACAGCTACTTTCTGGGTGTCTACTTTGCACCTACAAAGAGCATTAGATCCTGGCAAAAGTGGATCTACTGCAGAGCTGAAAGCACTTAGTGAGTTTCCATTCCCGACTTGTATGGATTTTTTTCAAGGTTCTGGGAACAGGCCCTGGCATTGTGTCCACACAGGCAGGTGCTTTCTTTTACAAATTTGCTAAAGTAAAACATTTTAACTGCAAAGGTGATGGCTGCTGTCTTCTTGCATTTGTGATGATGGGTAGTGTTTAAATGGCTGCTGGTTATTTCTGGAGTCCAGTTAAAGGATGTTGAGTTAGGGATGCATTCAGGATAGGTTTACTGGGATCTATTTATAAGACTCACAGTTACTTCCACTTATAGTCAGGTTACTGCGGTACTTTGGTGTAGGAATGGTTTCCAGAGTATTCTTACTGCTCAATGCACAAAGACATCCCATGTTGGAAGGCAGGAGCAGGGGCAGGGCTGTGATGTGAGATACTCACATCCTGGGGCCCCAAGAATGGGAAATGTGCATGTAGTGGAGAGCACACAGGATGGAATGGATGAAGTCAGCAGCCGTTCTGGGGTGAGTTCCCAAACATTAAAGTTCATGTGCTATAGAACTTCACAGAGTTTTCTTTCTATATTTTGTAATGCTTGTGTTATCGTCTTAAACTTTGCAGTTTGTTTTTGTGTTCTTGCATTCTGAATAAATAATAACTTCCATTCTGTTTTGTTTTCATTTTTTAAGAAAAAGAATAAAAAACTAACTTCAGACTCCAACATCTTAGTCACTTCAGTGAGTTGGGGAACAAAAGTAAACAAAGCCAAGTTTCATGCCTTTTAAAATCAAATTATAGTGAGAAAAAAAGAAAATAAAGAAGCAAATACATAGTATCAAGTGGGGATAAGTTACTCAGGAAAATTAATTTTACAGCAGAATATGAAGTGGAATGGTGTTAATAGAACATGGAAGGCAGAGAGAAGTGCTGTTCAGGGGAAACTATTTCAGGAAGAGTAAGTGCAAAGGCCCTGAGGTCACAAGTGTGGTGTTCAATACACTGGTACACACAGACAGAGGGTGTTGATGAAGTTTGGGAAGTAACCTGGGCCCACCTTCACATCAGAGTTTAGGAATAAGTGGGTTTCTTACTGATTTATTTCTTTGGTTGACATGAACAGAATTTCAACATTTATATTACATGATATAAAATAGCAATTTGTTATCAAAGTAATTTAGCCAAGTACCTAACTATGAGATATTATCAATGCTGTACTCAAAGAACCTTCAGCTGCTTTCCTCTGGCAACCATTGTAAAAGCAAGCACTTCATCCTGATTCTTAAGTTTTCCTACCACTGGTTCCCCAGCTTTCCTCCCATCTCCCCAATATTCCTGCTAGGTGTGGTTCAAGCAGTAGAGCATGTGTTTTGCAAGTCCAAAGCCCTGAGTTCAAACCCAGTCACAACCCCCAAAAAAGGTAACCTTGTGGTAAATTATGATATTATAAAAATATGATTATATAAGCAAATGACAAATTTCCACCAGTATCTTTTCTGTTAGTTGAGATTCACTTAGAATTCAACTGACTGTAATTTGCCACTTGCTGATAAAATTCTTTGTGATTTTTTCTTTCATGAATTTGTCTCAATTGATCTCAGACAAAAGGTCTCAACATTAAATGTAAGCTGCAGGAAAGGCTTGCAAAATGGCATCCTGTTGTGCACCAGGTTCAAAATGATCAAGATACAACCCCAGCCCCTCCTCAACTAAGCCTCAGGGGAGAGGCAAAGCTGAGTCTCTTAAACTGGCTTACATGCAAAAATTGTATTTCAACCATTTGTTAACAACTATCTATATAGTATTTTTAGTTCACATTTTAAGACTTTAAGTCTTACTTGAAGCAGCTTTTTCTACATGTTAATCCTCCCCTTTAAGATGATTTTTGTCATTTTAATAGTGAATAAAAGATTCTCAAAACCTAAGGGCCTTCTATACATTTGGTAATTCATCAGGATCACAGACA